TATTAAGCTCCCATACTAAAACTAGTAGTACTAATACAGGTTTCATGAGGGAAAAACCTCATCCATTCAACATTTATTGAGTACCCCTATCGTCCATTCAGTCACTGAACCAGGTGCTGGGTATATAATAGAGAAAATACAGTGTGGCTGATGTCATGAACCTCCTATTTAATTAGAAAGCGTCTGAGATCTAATCATAAGTTTAGTATGACTCATCAAGTACAACAAGAAGAAAAAATCCCAAGCTGATTTTACCTGTAGAGAGGTTCGCTTAGGGCCGCATCAGAATGTGACTCCACCTGCCTCAGCAGCCAAGGGGTTCCTCTATATTGAAAGATACTTTGAGAAACTGAGTAATGTGTTTGAAAAATCTGGTCCAGCCCATGAGAGACATGAAAAATGAGTACAGACTAGCCTGTGCTTGGCCTGGAGATTCAATGGTACAAAGAGATGGGCGGCATCTTCCAGGATTGAGAGAGATGCCCGTGCAAGGTATGATCCCACTGGTCTGATCACTGGTCTGGGGCAATCACCAGAGAAGGAAGCGTCTCACAGAGAAGTTGCTCTGCCTTCGCCTAGGGAAGAGAGATCTCATCCTTGGAGTTAATGTGGGGAAGAAAAAAAAAAAGGTCCAGTCAAGAGATTGGACTAGACTTTGATCCTGTTAACTGCAAAATCAAGAATTCTAACACCAATCCCCATTAATTAAGTTGGTAGGATTTAGGAATATGAATTTTGAAATCAAACAGAAATATTTCAGTCCTGGTTTAGAAAAGTTGCTCATACACTGATTCTCTGGCTTGTAAAATGAGGACATAATAGATCCTACTTTATCCTGGCTGCAAGTATTAAATGAGATGATTTACTTAAAGTATAAAGTATAGTACCTGGTTTTGATAAGTCATTAGTAAATAAATATTAGCTAATAGTAATATTAAATGTTCTTTGTCTTATTTGGCTATCTTTCAGTTTATTTAAGTAAACCATTTTGCTGTCTTCAGTTCTCCAAAGTTCCATAGACTAAAGCAATTGTTATAGTAATTAAAACCATAAAGAATTACTTTAGAGAAATCTGAACTGTTTACTTTTTTAGGGAAATTAGATGGGGGAAAAAAAAACCTAAAAGGGGCTTGTATTAAATGGAGATAAACCCATGTTATCATTGTATGGAATGGCTGAACGGAGCTGAGTCACAACAACCCTGCCAACCTTTCTCCTTCAGACTGTTTTCTGACAATGGAAGTGAAGACCCAAACCTGAAAACTAGTTTTATGTAAATTAAATCACATCTGACCAATTTAATTTCCTTCTGTGACAAAGAGACAAGCTCTGATGACAGAAGAATGCAATGGCTGTGACTTCAGTTGAGTCTACATTCCAGCCTACATCATAGTCAACTCTAAAAAACTTCATTGAGTTCTGCTGGCTAGAGCAAACAGTGTCCAAAACAGGGACCAGAGGCTTGTGATCACTTTCTGAGTAAGAAGGAGGAGTGAGAAATTCTTTTGTGTGACTAGCAGAAGAATTTGTAGCCCGCTTACCTAGCATAAAATTCACAATTCATTCCAGAAATATTTAGTGACATCTACCGTATGGTATACTCTTAATCTGGATTGGGATGACAAATAGAAGTAAGATTTCAAAGCAGCTGGGTGCCGGTGGCTCACACCTATAATCCTAGCTACCCAGTAGGCTGAGATCTGAGGAACGCAGTTCAAAGCCAGTCCTGGCAGGAAAGTCCGTGAGACTCATCTCCAATAAACCACTAGAAAACCAGAAGTGGTACTGAGGCTCATGTGGTAGAGCACTCGCCTTGAGCTGAAGAGCTCAGGGACAGCATCCAAGCCCAGAGTTCAAGCCCCATGACCAACTAAAAAAAAAATAAAAGATTTCAAAGCAGACCTGTTTAAATGGGGCTTTTCAGCAGGCCCACTTGTAGAGCTGGAGTAGCAGGGCAGGGCTACAGAATCTTTCGATGGGGCCAGATATTTCAGTAGAGTAAGATAAAGTTGGGGGAGGGAAGGGCACTTCAAGCAGGGACAGTTCAGTAGCAATGACTGCAAGAGACAACAATGAGGAAGAGTCTAGGAAGAGCTGGTATGGGAAAGGGGCAGGTTTAGACAGAGTGCTCATTCAGAAAAGCTTCAGAGAAGTCATGACCTTGGGGCACATACATGCTAAATATGAAAGACATAAGAGAAGTTAGCCCCACTCCATCTCTTCAGCTTCCATAGGTGAAGGTAGCCAGAAGAACAGTGTCTTCAATTGGACTCTGAAAGAATAACCAGTGACCCAAGTCTCTGAAGTGATACAGAGAGTGACCAGGGCTGGGGTGATTCACCCCAGAGCCCGTTTTCCTGGATAAATGAATTTCAGAGACTGCTCTAGATTCTACCAAAGAGATTTTGGTTGATATGACAACCTGGACTCTTCTGAATCCAATTTTTCTATTTGTCTCTACTTCATCAGGAAAGTATTGCTGAACAGGTAAAAATCAGGCTTCCTATCACAACACAGCCCCTGTGGACCACTAGGTCGCTCATAGCAGCCTGGGGTGAATTCATGGTGGAAGCATTCATTAGGGATGGGTACTTGTCAGGGAGCTGGAAGAACATAATAAAGAACCCTGGCTAATCGCCCGGGTGGTGGAAACCCAGGAGACTTGTAGCTTTCCTGGATAACCCACTCTGACTAAGAATGACCAGTTTCCAGGCTGTGAAGCCCAGGAACCCTGTCCGCTTAAGGCCCTAGATTATCTCAGTGTACTCCCAGGATGCTTGGGTTCAGTCTTCAAGAATGGCCCTTTACTACTGGGACTAATGGAAATTTCTAGGGAACTGAAAGGATGCTTGCCAGTTTGGGGGTGTTGTGCTGGGACTAGAACTAGGTCCCTCATCTGAATGATACTGGTTTTCAGGACTACCTGCCTAGCCAGCCCCTTGCCATGTTTAGCCAAGTTCTATGAGTGAGTATAGGCAGGCTCCACTTGTGAGGTACAGATCTTATGGTGGATGGGATGAGTCAGAAGAGCAGAGTGATACATGAATAAGCCATTGGAAAAGACTCATGTACATATTTAGCTAGTCTACAACAGTTCACACACACACATACACACACACACACACACACACACAGAGTTACCAAAGCAACCATCCACTGAAGCTCTATTTTGTTCTTTTTCATGCTGAATCTTTTCAGCTGTATTTCCTTGCTGTGCAGCCCTGACCCTGGAGTCTATGGAGAAGTACTTCACTTCCCTGGGAAATGCTGCTACATCTCAACATTTTACAAGTCCCTCCAGAGGCCCATCCTGACACCATAATCGGCCAGCACATCATTTGCTAACCTGCTAAGACGGTAACATAAAAAATAACCATTATGATTGCCACTGTGAGTCAGGGTGAATTACATATAAATCCAGTGTTATGACAGCTTTCACAGACAGTTCTAAGTTTAAGGGTAAAAAAAGAAAAAAAAAACAGAAAAAGAAAAAGAAACTAAGATGCATGTCTGCTACTTGGGAGGCTAAGGAGAGGATGTGAACCCAAGAGTTCAAGGCTAGCCTTGGCAACATAGCTGCCAGACCTTGTGTTACAAAAAGTGTGTGTGTGTGAGAGGGAGAGAAAAGAGAGGGAGGGAGAGAGGGAGGGGGAGGGGAAGGGAAGGAAAGGGAAGGGGAGGGAAAAGGGAGGGAAAGGAAAAGGGAAAGGGAGAGGAAGGAGAGAGAAGCTATGGGGAGGGGAGTAAAGAAGCCAGTATTAGTTCTAAAAGATGAAGGGACCTATTCTCCATGTTAAAGTAGTAGCTATGTTTTAGAATGTATGGATTTAGGGTTATTAGTGGGAAGGTGGCTCAGTGGTAGAGTGCTTGCCTTGCATGCAAGAGGCCCTGGGTTCAATTCCTCAGCACCACAAAAGCAGAAAAAAAAAGCCAGAAGTGGTGCTGTGGCTCAAGTGGTAGAGTGCTAGCCTTGAGCTGAAGAGCTGAGGGACAGTGCCCAGGCCCAGAGTTCAGGCCCCACGACCAGACCCCCCCCAAAAAAATCCTAACATAAAGGGGTCGAGAAACAGCAAAAACTTCTTAATAGAAATATTGGTCTGGGTTTTGGGGAAATCTGTGATAAGCCCTTAGGTATAATGTTTTTTTTCTCTTCTCTTAACTGTTAATAAGTTGACTACAGGTAGTAACAGTTTGTATGTCTACACTATAATAGGTTCGATTTTTTAAAAATTGTGACTTGTGACTGGACCAGAAAGTTGTTTGCAATTCCAATTTCTGCTGACTGGGAATTAACCTATGGGTTATTTAATTTATGGTTAAAACCTTTTACACTTTCATAAAGCATTGCGACACGCTGGAGTTGGGAAGAAAGCCCCTTTCTATGCTTGAAGTAAATCTGAGTGTCCCAACTAGTGATGGACAGGCGTTCATTGTTTTGCCCTGAATGAAAATTCTAGCCTTGAAGCCTCTGTAGGTGAGAGGACAGGGAAAGAGACTGGCTGCCACCCAGGCGATCAGATCTAGTCTCTTCCATAAGGGAGGGCCAGGTGGCCAAGTGGGTGGAGAAGTCCCCGAGTGGGTGTGCAGGTACCCAGAGGGGAAGCTGACCAGAGCAGTGTGAAGAGGAACCGATCAGATGAAGGGCAGGGGTTCCACTAAAGGGCCGGCGTGCGGTGAGATGAACTATCCACCCATCCATCCACCCACCCATCCACCCATCCATCCACCCATCCACCCATCCATCCATCCACCCATCCACCCACCCATCCACCCACCCCAACTCTCTCCTCCATGCGCATCCTCCGTGTGGTCGCCGGCCACAGGGGATTAGTCCGGCCCCCTAGGGGTCTGTGACTTGACCAGTCCAAACCAGGTCCTGCCTCTGTGTCCCCCCCCCCCCCCCCCCCCCCCCATCCCGCCATCAATTCTCAGGCGGAGTCCTGGGCTTCCCCTCCCGCTCCCGTTCGCTGCGGGGATCTGCGGGCACCCAGCTCGCTCACCTGCTTGCAGGCCGCCCGCCTCCGGGCCGCCGTCCGGCGCGGCGACGCTGGGCGGCGTGTCCGAGTCGGTGTAGGTGAGCCAGGTGGACTCGGTCTCCCGGGTCCAGCTCTCGTAGTAGCGGGGCTCGATGGCATCGGCCCGGCTCCCGCCGCAGCCCATCCTCCCGCGCGCGGGGCGCGCTCGGCTTCCCGCCCGAGACGCCGCGGCTCAGCCCCGGGCCGGAGGCGGCGACATCGGCCCCCCAGCCGCAGCCAGCGCCCGGCTCCACAGGGCCCTCCCCTCCCTCCTCTCCCCCGCTCTCCGCCTCCCAGGCCCTCCCCGCCCCGCCCCTCCTTCCCCACCTCTCCCCCCCCCCCCCCCCCCCCCCCCCCCCCCCCCCCCCCCGTGCTCCCTAGCTGGCCACACTCCGAGCAGCGGCTGGTGCTGGGAAGGGAAAAAAAGGGATCTCCAGAGGGGCTCGATCTCCCTGTCCTAGATAATTGTTCCCAGACTCCTACTCACCCAGCCACACATCCACTCACCCACCCATTCACCCACTCATTCATCTACCCTCCCTCCCTCCCGTTTCCTTGTCCTTCTTTTCCTTCCACAATGGGCTGGGAACAAACCCCAGAAAACGGTTGGAGTGGGAACTCAGAAGCAGTCAGAGCTGGAGCCTGCCTGTCTTTGCTGGTCTGGGGAGGAGAGGTCGGGCCTATGATTTCAGAGTAGGGCTAGACACTTGTGGCTCCCCGTGCCCCCCCCCAACACTTTCCAGTTCTGTGACTGCAAATCTTTTTTCTACATGAAGCCAAAGACCACCAGGACTCTGCGGCAACCAGAACACCCTCTGTGAATGGGCTGAGAGGCAAGGCAGGCTTTCCTCCAACCCAGGAGTGATCTGACATACCGCACACCTACTCCACAGTTGACAACTTTTCTTTTTCCCGTGCACACCCAGGTCCATGTGAGTACAGCCCTTGAGCTCAGATTTGGATAGGCTAATACATCTGCTTACCAGTCCCCTGAACAGATGATAAAAAGTCCTTTAAAAGAGTGCTGGCTGCTGGTGGGGATATAAACTAGTACAACCACTCTGAACAGCAGTCTGGAGGTTCCTCAAAAAACTAAACATAGATCTTCCCTATGACCCAGCCACACTGCATCTACCCAGAACATCACAAGCCAGGATACCTAAAGACATTTTGCATCCATGTTCACTGCTGCACTATTCACCATAGCCAAGTTATGAAACAGCCCAGATGCCCTACAATAAATGAGTGGATCAAAAAAAAATGTGGTCCCTATACTCAATGAAATTTTATACAACCATTAGAAATAACAAGCTGGGTGCTGGTGGCTCATGCCTGTAATCCAAGCTACTCAGGAGGCTGAAATCTGAAGACTGCAGTTCAAAGTCAGCCTGGACAGGAAATTCTGTGAGACTCATCTCCAATTAATCACCAGAAAACCAGAAGTTGCGCTGTGGCTCAAGTGGTAGAGAGCTAGCCTTGAGAGGAAGATCAAGTACCCATGTCCAGAGTTCAAGCCCCACAACAACAAAAGAAAGGGAGAACGGGGGGGGGGGGGAGGAAAGGAAAGGAAAAAAGAAAAGAATAATATGTCATTTGCAGGGAAATAGATAAACCTAAGACAAATCATGTTAAGTGAAGTAAGCCAAGCTCAGACAGACAAATGGCACATGTGTTCTCACATATGTGGAAACTAGATCTAAAATACAACTAAGTGTAATAACATATATAGGCATTCACACACAGATCAAAGGGAGCTAGTCTTAGGAGAGGAACACAAAGGTGCAATATCTATGTGCAGCTGACCCTATCAAATATTTATTGAAATGAACTCCAGAAATGGAAACAAGATTTTTCTTTGTTGCTGTTTTTCTTTTCTTTTTGTCTTATTTGTTCATTTATCTGTCTTTGGGATGGTAAAGGGGGAATAGAAATGGAAGGGCAAAGGGTGAACAAATGAGCAGTGGGACTCACTAGACCTATGTTGAAAATGCACTATCTAACTTGTGGGTGGGGAAGAGAGGGAAAAACTGAAAAAGAGTGAGGGAAGGGGTGACATTGTCCAAAAAGAAATGTACTCTGTAACCTGCCTGTACCTCACCTTTATAACAATTTTTTTAACTTAAAAAAAAGTGCTAGGAAAACGCAGAGTTTGGAAGAAAATCATCAGTGACACGGTTCTGCTAGAATAGAATATAATCATAGATAAATATCATATTTATCCAACATGTTTCTTCTTTCTTCTTCTTTTGTGTCTGTTACAGGACCTTGAGTTTGAGGCCTAGTCACTAACCCTTAGCTTTTTCACTTAAGTATGATGCTCTACCACTTGAGCCACCCCTCCACCTCCACTGGCTTTTTGCTGGCTGATTGGAGACAAGAGTCTGTCTTCTCTGATTTGTCTGCCCAAGCTGGCTTTGAACTTTGATTCTCAGATCTCAGCCTGCTGCATATCTAGAGCTACAGGTGTGAACCATCAGTGCCCAGCTGCAACAGAATATATAATGTATATAACATAATGCATATTACCTATTGTATATAGACTGTAGTATATACCGTTTAACACAACAGATAAGTATATAAAATATAGATAATGTGTTCATTATATCCTATAGAATGTATAGATGTACACAGTCTACCATTTTACATGTAAAATCCAGTAGTTAGGCCAACGCCAGAGAAATTCTTGATACACAGTAAACTCTCAACACATCTTCTGCATGAATAATTACCTTCTTGTGATACTGGGATTCGAACTCAATCCTGCTAGGCAAGCACTCTACTACTTGAGCCATGCCTCCAGCCTATAAAGTAGCTTTTTGTACCAATTCAGTTTAATTATTACAATTCAAGGTAAGAAGGAACAGTTAGAATAAACTGTCACAAATCTCTGTGGCGAGCACTATAGTACCAGAGGGATAGATCAAAAGGATCACAGACTCAGGGATTCAACACCAAGAACTCCTCTTCCTCATGCTGTCACCAGAGGCTGCTCCCACCCCAGAGCCCAGGCCTTCTCTGCCAATTTTGCTTTGCTTCTCCTTTTAAAACTGTCCTGGCAGGCCTCTGCAACCTCATTTCAGTTGTGGGGGCAGGAAGGACTGTCACTTACCAAGGATGGGTATCTCCATCAGCCGGCCAGAATTAGGGTGCCCTATGTATCCACCATCCTCCCCCTGAGTGGGAGCGGCTATGGGCTTAATCTTCTCTAGCACCAAAGAGGGGAGGGAGAGGGAGAGAGAATAACAATAAATAAAGAAAAGAAAAATAGCTTATTGGGAAAGATAATTCTCAACATATTGATAAAGCCTGTATTTTCCTGAAAGTGTTCCTTTCATAACCACCTGAAAAGCATCTGGGACAGAAAGAGAGAGCCTGTTAGAAGGTGCTCAGGAAAGCCCCAGAGCTGGAGCCTGTGAGTAAAGGAAATGAGGGCAGCATAGACAAGGTGGCACAGTCTGGGGTGAAATAGGGTAGAAAAGACCAAAGGAGGGAACTCAGGCCTTATTCTAAAGGCAATGGGAAACACTGGAGGACTTTAAGATACCCACTGCACTGATTCTGCTTCAGGACACTGAAGTCTGGAGGTAGATAGAGAATGAAGAGCGGATTCTGGAGAACATTCTTTTTCCTGGAGAGAAATGGGGATGTTGGAGGATTGAAGAGTTGAGTTGACTGTGGGTTACTGAGGAGGGAAATGCTAAATGCATGCGGTGTGGAAATGATGAACAAAGGAATGCAGTTAGATTCCCTTGTATCTGCATTCCACTTTCTGCTTTTCAGTTTGCTGCAGTCAACTGAAGTCCAAAAATAATATAAGGAAAATTCCAGAAATAAACAATTCATGAGTTTTAAGTCATGTACCATTCTGAGTAGCATGATGAAATCTCACACCATTGAAGTCGTTCCTGCCCAGAGCATGAATCATCCCATTATTCAGTGTCTCTGCTGCCCTACCCTAGTTTAGATCTGAAATGTGCCCAAATAGTTAAGGATATAATCCTCAGCCTTGTGCTACTGGGCAGTGGTGGAAACTTCAAGAGGGAGTCCTGGGGGAGGCCTTTAAGTCATTGCGGGTGTGCTCTTCTCTCGAGCTTCTTGCAAGACGTGAATGGCTTGTGCTATCTCATATTTCCAGCATATAGGCTGTTCCAACATAAGTCAAAACAACAGGCTAATCAACGAATGAACTCAAACCTCTACAACCCAAAGTAAACTTTTTCTCTTTACAAATTAATTGTTGCAGTTAGTCAGTAGTCATTATAATTGTTCCATTCTATCATTAGCTCTTGCTGTTAATCTCTTTGTGTTTTTTAAAAAAATATATTTTTATTAGCATATATTAGTTGCACAATTAGTTTCATGGTGGCATTTCCCAACATAAATACAATATATCCCCATCATATTCACCACATCTCTCTCTCTCATCCCTTCTTAAAGCAGCATCAACAGGTCAACAGGTTTCTTGTTCGATTTTCATACATGCATGTAAATCACTTCTACTATATTCATTCTTCTTCACCATCTCCTTGGCCCTCTCTCCTCCTGCTGATACTTGCCCCATCCCAGCCTAGAGCCTGTCCTTTCCTCCTTCCCTTCCTCCCTCCCTTCCTCTCCCACCCTCCCTCTCTTTCTTTACTTATTCGTTTTATAACTTTTTATTAGCATACATTAGTTAAACAAGGGGATTTCATTGTGGCATCTCCACAGTATCCCAGTCAAACTCAACCCCACCATCATTCTCCCTAAACCCTTTCTCCATTCCTAATACAACAGTTTATACACAAATGTTTATAAACCTTAGGTATGTTCACGCAGGGAAAACAGTGTATATAGAAGCAGGCACACTCTGAGGTTTGAAGCATGCACTGCGGGTGTTAGGACCCGGAGGATAAGGGTTGAATTTGAGATGTCTCTGACGCTTAAGTTACCTAATTAAAACACGTAGTTTAACTACAATGACATGGAAAAAGCTGGCTTTCATTATCAGATGGCTACAAGTCTGGAACTTTCAAAAGGTTTCAACTAGAAAAATTAAATTTAGGAGAGATGTCAGCTGATAAAAGATACCTGGAAAAAATGTCTCTTTTTCCAAATATCCTGGTCTTTGGAGTCTTCATTTTCTAGACCTTACAAGTACTAGGTCCCCTCTTGTC